CGAGTAAGCTCAAATGTTGGCTAAGTTCATGTAGACAACCTGGCTTACGGGTGCTTTTAAATTACCATCCGTGGGCTGGGGTTTGCATAAATTTAGAGAGAGCCGAATTATCAAATCGTTTACGCACGTCCACCTACCTGTAAATGCTTGAATAGAGGAGAGGTGTTGCCCGCATACGCTTCGGGACTTTTTGGAATTGTTTTTTTATTTTTTTTTTGAAAGGGAAGGTTTTGATGTTTAAAAATAAGATAAACCCGAAAATAGAAATACGGTAAGATGAGCAATTTTAATTCTGTCTTGTGCATTGGGTCACAAAAGTACTGCAAATTATATCAGCTGAGATTTTAGTTAATAAAAAAATCGTTTTCAAATTTCCCGCGATTTTTGGCATTGTGTTTTTACGGATGAAAACGGGCTGAAAATTGGGAAACAATTTTAAAGTACGACATGTTCATCTTTTCCTTGAATAATACGACCATGTTTTACGTCAATTTATATTATCTATGACATACCATCCCTTAAGCCGTTTATTGCTCTATGAACTCTGCACAACTTGGCAGAAACACCATGTTTTACAATCTTCCGTCATTTCTCGTTCCTCTGAAATACGGATTTTTCGATTACTCCGCCTCTATTTTCGATTTTTTTGTTATGAACCCGTTTAAACGCCCCCTTTTTTATATTACTCATGTTTCCCTCATATTGCCTTTGTTACCCCGATAATTTTGTGGACCGGATTCCTTCTTACCGATTATCCAACTTTCCCTTCCTCCTCGACGGGCATGACAAGTTGATTGTCTTCCGGAATTCCATCGGGGAACGTCATTAGAATAAATCTTGGCCCAACTTTTTTTATAGATTTGTCTGCTGGTTAATGACCGTACGCGTTACTTATTGTTAGTTGTTGGAGAAAGAGAGATGTTCTTGCTCTTGCATGTGACACAAAAAATTTGATTTTTTTGAGGAAACTTTTAGGAGGAAATAAAAAAATTTTTTGTACGGTGTAAAATTAGATTTGTTTTGAAAAATTACAAATAACTCTAAAATTAGTAAAGAATTAATTTAAAAATATTGACGTAGAAACAGTTTATGACATTCTTGTAGGTTGATTCCACCTTTAATGGCATTTATACCCTTCAATAATTAAAATTTCAATTTTTGTACCATATTTGGCATTCTGTTCTAATGGTCTCAAACTCATAAATTCTTAGAAATTTAGAGTTTTAAACAGTTAGATAAACAAAAATCTACATTTTACAATACATTAGATAAGACAAAATTTGCATTTAAATACCATTCCACCTGTTTTTCACATCCAAATTATATTATGTATATTATCCGTAATTACTTTAGAAACAACTGCAATTTTATGATTCAAAAAAATAAAATTTACTTATGTCCGAATGTTTTTTGAAGTCTACCTTATACTTCTCTATGCAAAAAGCTCAGAAATATAGCAATAAAAATTTTTTATCCCTCGAACTTTACACGTTTTCACCTTTTCCAAAAATAGTTTTGCGTTGTATTTTTGCACTCAACCTCCTCCTAATAACCTTCCAAGAATCCCTTGCACTTTTCCCATTGCCCTTTTGGGTACTCAGAGTTCGATACAACAACAAAACATTATTCATAAAGTCATCAAGTACAATATATCATTTTATTTTATTTCTCCTGTATTTTACCGTTCAAAGAATGTCCAAAGATTCACCTCATTTTATTTACCCTTTAAAGATGTTTGTTTACATGTGGCGGCGAAATTGAACAGCATGTTTGCTACATTCTATGATTAAAATGTATTTTCCCGGAATCTGGCGGGCTGAGAAATAAAAATTTATTTCAAAGAATATTTTGATTTTAAAAATATTTTTAGTAATATAAAGAGCCACGAGAACCGTCATGTTTGGCAGTTATTAATTTCGAATGTTTTCTTACAGAGTTTATTAATTTTCCGCGGGCGTATTGCGTCGTTTTGAAAGAGTTTTTGAGGCCAATATTAATTATGGTAGGTCTTTGAATAAAAACGACCAAAGACTGGAACGTTTCGAAAAGTCTTTGGTCTAGTGTATGTACTCCTATCGGCCGAAGAAGTATTTTTATTCGCCTAAGTTTTCTATCCCTTGTGGATGTAAAAATGTATTATCGTCATGTTTTTAACCCCCTTCGGAGTGAGTTATCAACTACAACACGATATAAAAATGAACAATTTTTCTCTATTGTCGGTTGAAACAGATATCATCTTACATCACCAACGTATGTATGTTGTACATAACTTGTGGCTGCCATTTACAATCTGAACAACACTTTGTCTTTAAAAAAGCTAAATATTCGCCTTGTTTCATTTTACGTCAAATCGAATATAATGCCCAAAAATCCTATTTCCACCCACCTCCCCCCTCACTTGTTCCCTGCACTCATAGAAAATGTATTTTGCCATATTCGTTGCTCTTATTTACCCTGCCACATCTTTATAATGTAACCTTAGCAGCAAAAATATTCAACTTTCCTCATTAGATGTCGGCTCCAGTATAAATCTCCCAAAGACCTCTGATCTTCGGTTCATTCCGTCAAAAAAACATTTTTTAATATTGTAGACATACCCTAAGGTCTCAGAGATCATGTTTCCCGTATTTGTCTACGCCATCATAAAGGTAAAATTCCCGTTTTTTGTTTTTCAATTCAATAATTTTTCCGCCAATTTTTGACATTTTAAAAATTGGATATTTACCCTTTCAGTGGAAGTTTCCAGTGAATGGCAGACAGCGGAAAAGTTTGATCATTGATGTGTAGATGTTGCGGTTGAATGACATACAGAAGATGTAGACAATCTTGAAAGTTTATGAACTTTATTTTCTTAAGTGGGAAATGGTCAAAAGTCAAAGTATCGGCTTTTTATGGGATTTGGTGCAAATTAAAATTTGTGGTTCATGAAAATCTGTCTGAATATTGGGAGCCTTCTTTATGCCATAAAACTCATATAATTCTTTTTTTTTAGTTTTTGATTTCTGATACTCCAACAAGCAAAATAATGATTTTGAATTCAAAAAATCCCACAAAAACCCTTCAACTTTACAAAAATAATTATAAATTCGGAATGACTTCATTCGAAAGCTCCGTTCTTCATTGAGAATACAAAAATCCTATCATTGACGAAGGACTGCGAATACCCAGAAGGATTGCAGTCGGATTTTTTCCGCGTGAAGAGAATATGCATTTAAATTAGGGGTCACATGGCTGCCCTCATTTGTCTTTATTTTTCCTGTTTATTCCGGAAAATCGCGACCGTTTTCCGGAAAAACAAAAAAAAATGAAAGCAAGGGGAAAGATTTTTGAGGTGTTTGTTGTATACCAAAACCTGTGTTGAATCGGAAAAATCAAAAAAAAAAAGAAATTGAGCGATTTTCGTGGTGGGACCCAAATTTTTTTTGAATTTGATATAAACCCCTGAAACTTTTAGCCTAAACTTCACCCACAGCCGACATACAACACAACCTAAAGTTTCAATTTTTGTTTTTTGCTTCTCTATTTTTTTGAGCCCAGATTCCGCCGAGATGTATTTGATTATCCCGCCCCAAAAAAGCCACGAGTCCAGAATGATTTCGCCAATTTAACTCGATTTTCCGGAAGTCCCAAAAATAGACCCTAAGGGTAATATATATTCTGGCAAAGCAAACACTCAAAAGTCAAAATGGGAAATGTGTAGAGATCATTTTTTCGTCGTTAAACCCTTACACCCTTCTCAATACGTAGGGTTTACAAACACCGCCTTAATTTTATTTTTAGAACCTAATCGGATGACTGCATTTGTTTTGAATTTGAAAATTCTGGGGGGTGAGGATTTTGTGTAGACCACAAGGCCTGCAAAAATTTTAGCTCGCCATTTACACCCATTAAATTTTTTAAAATTTTTTCGATATGGAAATCTCGGTGATTACTGCAAATTACAAGCTAAAATTCTCGGGTGTGCCTTCAAAATTCTTAATCGCAATTTGTCTCAAATTTCATCAAAATGTGAACTCCCCATTTCCTGCAAAATGACGTTTTATTGTTTCATTTTTCCAAACTTTTGTATCTTCGAAATGTAGTGTGTCTAGTTCCGGTGAACTCCAAAAACTGCTCGCTATTTCCACAAAATTAACGACATTCATTCACTTTGTCGCCACTGCTGTATCAGACATTTTGCCGACAATTTTAGTTTTCTGGTCATCGCTTACACTTTGGGGTGTAAACAAGAGCGTTTTAAAATTCCGCCGCCATTGTTTTCAAATTGAATTATCTCGTTACCTCCATTCGGTTGGCCCCAACCTTTCCCCGAATGTTTGTTTGTGGGAATCGTAGAGCTGCCCGGATCGATTTAAAACATTTTTCAGGGTCGGCAGAGGTGGGGCCAAACTTGTGTTTTTTTTTTATTTTGAGGGGCGGTTCGACCGCTTATTTTTCATTGGGGAGATGCGGGTGGTACAGCTTTTGATTCGATGAAACTTGGCAAAATTTTCAGTTCATCTTTTCTATGACGAATTCTGGGTTTTGAGCAAATGCTTTGCAGAAACCATCGAGGGATTTTCAAATCGAAAAATTTTTTATGTTCGAGTTTTTTTAAGGTCCCTAATTTACAATCTTGATTCTATAAGAGCAAGATGTTGAATTTTTAAAGTGAAAATCGGTCTTCTCTTCCCAAAATTCTCAAGGGTACGACCAAAAATTATTTTTTCTCTCTCTCTCTCCTCATTGTCAATTGTCTCTCGTCCGTTCAGGCCGTTCAATATCTTGGTTGCTCCTGCAAACCGTATGCTAAAATTTTCAGAGGTTAAATTTCCGGCCTATTTACTGCGTTACCAATAATTAAAAGGTAAATCTGGGCCGAGACATTTTTGAAATATTCATTTACGTTGTACTGTATATATGATTCCAGACGCGTTTATTTTGCATACGATTAATTTACCGAAATTATTTTGCAAACTTCCAGGTGTTCCTTGCATTTCCATGACATAGTCTAGTAGAGAATGAACACAATGGACTTGACGCCCGGACCCGCCGCCATCACGGTGGGGTCACGGAACTGGTCCTTCTTCAGCTGTGACGCACTGGACGAAGTGATGGGAATTCAGGTAAGGATTTTAAAAATAATTAAAAAATGTAACAGTATAGATTTTTTCGTTGTTTTACTATTTTTGGTACTTCTTTTATTATCCTTGATTTTTTACTCTATTCACCTCTTTCTTCCTCACTTTTGTTTATTTAATCTCTAACAAGGGAAGTCACTTAAGTCACGGATCGATTTTTAAAAACGACTGTTACAGCGATGGGGAGGGTACGACGGAGATATCAAATCTGAAAACCGCTACCTCCACCGGCCTCTGGGAGCCGAGATAATCGGCCAAAAAGGTTTGACCAAAAAAAGCTGCCCCGAATCGTCCTCTCTTCCGAAAGAAGGAGGGAAGAGAACCGAATGGTCCGGTGGTCTGGAAGCGCGCTTCCAGGCCATGACCTTTTCAGGTTCGAATCCGCATGGGTCAAATAAATAATTTATTAAACTTTTCCTGTGATCCATTAAATTTATTTTTAGATTTTTTGCATATTTTACGATAAAATTTCAGAGTAATAATTTAAATACGCGTTCCAAACGATTTGAATTTTCAAGGTTGAAAATTCACCGTGAAATAGGCAAAAAATCTAAAAATAAATTTCTAGCAAATTTACTGGATCACAGCAACTGTTTTACAAATTTTTCACAAGTTCGAAACCCGCGCGGATTCGAACCTGAAAAGGTGAAGGCCCGGAAGCGCGCTTCCAGACCACCGAACCATTCGGTTCGCTAGGTTCTCTTCTTTCGGAAGGAAGAAATGTTCGGAAGAATTTGGTCAAACCTTTTTGGTCGATTATCTCGGCTCCCAGAGGCCGGTGGAGGTAGCGGTTTTTAGATTTGATATCACCGTCCTACCCTCCCCATCGCTGTAACAGTCGTTTTACAAAATCGATCCGTGATTTAAGCGACTTCCCTTGTAAGCTTTAATTTTCTCTCCGAAATGACAATTATATTTCTCAAAATTACTCTAGGCATTAGTCCGAACGTATAAACCTCAAGATGATAAAATGACCTCATCCCTCCCGTTTCTTAAATCGTTCGAAACTCGATATCGGGATTAATTCCGGGATTTTGATTGAAATTTTATCCTCTAGCCAACCCGGCATTTAATCACATTTAAATGCGGAACTTTATAGACAGAGAAAAAGAGATTGGTTTCGAACTAACCAAAGCATTTGTAAGGTAAAGTAAAGTAGGCCGAAAACTTGTTAAGCTAGAAACGCAGGCATGATTAGTTATTTGCATGCAATTTCTGACGTTCGGAAGTCGTCAAAAAAGCAAATATTTCGATGGAATTTTAACAAAATAAATACTATGATAAACTGCCGAAATAGAACAGGGACCCTAAACCTCAACCGTCTTGGCTAAAAAATCACAGTTGTTATAAAAAAATTTTTACTGCCGTCTGAATTATCCATAGCCACTGTGAAATCAAAGCCCACACAATTCTCACAAACACTCTAATCAAATTTTTTAAGAACGGCTTCTACTGGCGTAACAAAGGTGCGGGCACAATCATCATGTTGTATGCGATTGTTTGTTCCTTCGGCGCTCTGGCCAATCTACTGGTTATTGTGTCGTTCCTGAAGACTCCGCATCTACACAACCTCAGGAATTATTTCATCGTAAATCTGGCGGTGTCGGATTTGATCATGTGCGTTCTAACAGCTCCTTTTACCTTGTACCTGACGTTAAACCTCTTCTGGCCATTTGGAAATCTTGCCTGTCAGTCGGTAGGTGAAATACGACCGAAAAAAAATCTGCGTTTATAAGACGAAATAAGCCCTTCCGATTTTAGGTAGCCTCAGCACAAGCCGTAAATCTCTTCGTTTCTTGTCTAACGCTGGTGCTGATTGCGATGGACCGATTTCTGTTGACTTTATGCCCCGTAAAGTGGCGGTTGGCGGCTAAGGCGCCGCTAGCATTCTACGTGGTGGTCTGGTTGGCCTCGCTGATCATTGCGTTGCCGTACTTTTTCGCAGTACAAGCCGAAACGGTCGATTATTTTGATCCCTGGAATCAGCCGAGCATCGATGAAATGGTAGGTTTGTTTGAGCCAAAGCTTCCCTAAGTAGGTGTTGTTGGAAATAAATGTCGCGCGGAGCGCCCGTAGTCTTTAGGCACTCATTTGGGTCATCAATTCATTAGAGAAATCAAAAAATCATCGTATTTCGGCAAAGATAACGTAGATTAATGTCCGAGAGCGTATATGAGACAATTTTTGGCTTACTTCTCTGCTTTTAGACTTTAGTCTTTTTCTTTCTCATTTAGATGATGTCTTAAGCCTCTGAAACACAAACCCAAAAAGCGGAAATCAAATGTTTTCGAATTCTCAAGTCAAAAAACCAAATTAACAGTAAGTTGCAATTTCGGACTCAATTACCCAGAAAAAAATAGTGTGCATTTTGAGAAAAGCCGGAGCCTTTTTAATTATTCATACAGCTTTTTTACGGTTTAAAAGCCAAAATTCAATGAGCTGAAGCGACTAAACCGGCCGGATTATACCCACACAGTTCGCTGAAGAGCGGCTACTCGGAATGAAAACGGTCTGGTAATGAGAGCAAAACTCAATTCCGCAAAAATAGAACCAAGAGTCTCGAGAATGATACGAATCTTACACAAGCGAAATTTTATAAACAAGAAATTATGTATAATTTTGTTTGCAGATGAAATTGTGTGAAAAAAGTCGACCAAAAATGTGTTTGGAGAGGACTTGGCATCGATTACCAGTGTCCAGAAGAACTTATACATTGACTGTATTAGCGATTCAATATGTCCTGCCGTTGGTTTCCTTGGGATTCGCTTATTCGCAAATTGGATTTACGATCAGAAAAAGAGTCAAATATAATACGACCGTAGACCAACATCGCAAGCAGATTTTGGCTCAACGGAACAGGTACGAAACTTACTTAAATGATCACTAATAGAAGTGGGTAATGATAAAGATTATTTTTTAGAAAAGCTTTATTACTCTTGCTGACTCTTGTTTTGGTATATGGAATTTGTTGGTTGCCAATGAATGCCTACAATGTTTTGAATGTCTTCGAAGTTATCGAATTTTCACAATACAGGTGAGCATGTGAGACAAGCTTGTTTATACTGCTTCATATGAATTTTATCATCATATGATAATAAAATCAATTACTCTATTATTCTTTACCTCTAGGTATATCTACTGCCATTTAATTGGAATGACGTCCGCCTCGATAAACCCGGTCATGTACGGCCTGATCAACGACTCTTTTCGCAACGCTTTCTTCAACATGCTCCGTCCATTCTTTGGCCCTTGTACGAAATACATTGCTGTCTCGCCGAACCAGCCAACTCATACTACATATTCTTTCACCATGATGAATGCTGTAAGTTTGGCTCAAATTATTGATCTACGTGGCATTTAAAAGCTCGTTTTCTACTCTACGTTTCCAGATCAACTCACCTCGTCGCGAAAGCCCTAAGTTTATTGAAGCGAATGGCCATCCTCATCGCACGGTGCCTTTAATCCAAGTACAACATGACGAAGCGGCTCTTCTCTCCCCTCCACCACAATTATAAACCAGGCCTAATATATCAAATTCGATCTCTGTAAAACTCGCGAAAAAACTATTAGCGCAAAAGTTCTGAAAGTTCGATCAAGACTCGAAAAACTCAAAGTGCAACGGGATTCTACTTATCAGCCAATTGACTTTACATACCTTACTGTTTAATTTTTCTATTTTGTTATGATTTCTTTTATCCGCTGTGTATAATTGTGCACCTGCCTTTCGTATCTCTGCATAAATGTAAGATTTTAATAAATGGCTAATTAATTAAAGATAAGTTAAATTTATTTCACCCGGATTTTCTTGATAACACAAAATGATGACAATTTACAATTAAAAACAGAAAATAATTCAGCAAGAACGAAGGTTAAAACCTTTCTTTTGGTTTGGCAGCAGAAATACATTGAAGACTAACAGGCGATTTTTCGAGACGTATTCTAAATTCCTAATGTCAAGAAGACTTTCTCTATAATCTCTTCTTGACAATGGTTGGGTCTATCGCAAAGTTCTGTCCAAATTAGCCGGTTGAACTCATTAACAGTTTTTCTAAAGTCTGCGTAGCACTCAGCCGAAGCACTTCGAGTAGGGCACCTTCCTTCTACTGGGCACCGAATACTCAAAGGACAACCACGATCCTCATACTCATTAAACATCAAAGAATTTCGATTTTTTAGCTCGGTGCATCGGATATCCACACTCCATTCACAAAAGTCGTACATGGCGTAATATGACATAAACGAGACCAATAGCTCCGAAAGTCCCATTTCCTGTTTGGATGAATCTGAAAATATAAGGTTTTTGAAAAATTTTTTAAAAATACATTACATTAAGCGCATTGCAAAAAAAACTGCTTACCCCATTTAAATTGTGATTCAATCTCTTCAATTGAATGGTCCTTTAGTTTACAATGCAAGTCCGGAATCATCTCGTGCAGAACGGGTAATATTTCCGGATACACCCCCTTCTGCAGAAAATTGATTACCAGTATAACCAAGGTGTAGGTGTTGTAACGACGTAAGGCACCACCGTGCAATTGATTCGTTTTTGCCCACTTTTTAATGGTCATCAAAAGTTGCGCAGCTCGGTTGTCAATTCTGAAAAATATATTTTTAATATTTTCCAAATTCAAAACTGGGCGCCAATTAAATGTAAGATTAAAACAAACCTTGAATATATTGCTAACAATTTTGTATTGATAACACCCCTGAAGTTTTGGACCGTCAAGTCTACCTCTGTCCTCAGACCATGCTCAAAAATCAGTTTTGCCAGCGGAACCTGAAAAAATGGAATTAAAACGATCAAGCCAACCAAAATCTAGTTTCAGGGTATACTTACTCCTTTTTCCTCCAAATTATCAACTTCTGCTAGCCCAGATTCTGCCACATTTTCTGACATTTCAAGGATTTTTAAAACATCTGTGACTTTTGGCAGTTTTTTTTGGCTAAAAAAATAATCGTTACATATTTTCCAAAGCATTTATGGATTTAGAAGAAAATACTTACAACGTCGGACTTATCAAGGTAACGTCCATGTCAGATAAACGTGATCCAAAACCGTTGTGACTTCCACCATAAGGGGCCACAGAATAGCCTTCGAAATGGGGTGGTAACTGCTTATTAAGAACTTCAAGAAGATGATTTAGCTGATTTGTGTGTTCTTGGCTAGGCTTGCGACTAAAAATTAAGATATTATGGCATTAATTTCTGCAAGAATCAAGCCGAGATATACTAAAAAACAAACAAAAAAAAGAGGTTGACTTAATATTACAAATTGTTGAGGTTGGCTTACCTTTCGTAAAATCGGAGCATTCTGTCCTCAATTGTATTCATAGCCTTCGAATAGCTCCTAGCCAACCTTCTTACCAACCGATTCGCCCTGCGGACACCGTTCTCACATGGGATATACACAATGTAGTCGCGAATTATCCAATTACTGTCATAGGTTAAGGTATACCCATCTTCTAGGTGGTGTTCCCTTTCTGCATGATAAGCCCTCACATACCAACTAAAAGCGGTGTCACGTGTCTTCGGAAAACTTTCTTTCGAAATCCTAAAAAAAATCCGTGAATTTTTCAAAAATAACGTTTCCTCGTCGTTGTTTTAAAACGCTTTTTTTACAGATCTTAGTTGGCCCGGACATTGCTAAAACCGGTGTCTTAGAGTTGAACGCAAATTGGTCAACTTCCACTGACAGGCAAAAAAAATCGCGTATTTGTGTTTTCCCAAAATTACCATATTACTGTAACATTTTTACTTTACTGTAACATTTTTCCTTAAAAAAGATATACTTAAAAAAGAAAGACTAATCGAGAAAACGGATCACTATTTTAGCGCAAATCGATTTCAGTTGTGTTTTTTGAACTGTATAACTTCTTTGTAATTATCACCAAAAACTAGAAATGACATGCAACCAACTTTCGCTAAATTCTGAGATACCGACTTTAACAATGTCCGCCTTCTGTAAGAAATTTCAAAAAATTTTTAAAAACTAACTTTAATTCATCCTCTCTAATCATCCTTCTAACCGCTCGTTCTTGAGCTTCAACCATTTTCTCTGCATCTTCGTCCACCGTGAAGATATAGCGACCATGGCACTTGTACCTCCATCTGCATGGGGGCCAGTCACTTGACGTACTGGCGCCGTCATCTTCGCTCTCGTCTTCCTGCATAACGTCCTTTTCATCATTGTCTCTTGTCGACAGTTCCTCTTCTGATGACTGATGACATACTTCATAAGCAATTTCATGCTCATATTTGTAGTCCAACAATTCGGCTTCGTCCCAGGCTCCCATAATAACTTATATCTACACTAAATGAAAAAATATTGTTTTTATGATGTAAACTCCGCGTCAAGACATTTCCGGAATTTGGACACTTCCGGAATGGTGAATATCTTGCTAAACAACGACCTTCCCGTTTTTTTCGCACTTCAATTGATTGCCAATAGTGTAAGCGTTAGGTATTGAATGTTGCTAACACAATTTTAGACTATGATCTGACACTTTGTTAGACATGAAATCGAATTTACACCGTTTTTAAGCTAAAACTTGCATTTTAACCTTGTTTTCGGGGTGTAAAAATGAAGTGAGTGTTTCTAGAGTTAGGCGAGCTTATCAGTGCAATAACTACTACCGACAGCATCGTTTACAGCTCTTATCGAAGCCACTCGGGGCTCTTGGTAGGAGGTTAACCATGAACAACATCATCAACCTTGATCCAAAATTTCAGGTGCGGGTATAAAAACGCGTTTATAATTAAACGCTGATGCTAGAACTACAATTTAATGTTGAAACCAGGTGGGGGGTATCATTGTTTAACGTATTATTTACCGTTCCGGAAGTGTCCCTATTCCGGAAATGTCGTGCTGCCGTAAACTCGATTGCAAGAGAACATATGCGCGTAGATTATACTTTGATTAAACAGATTTCTAATCAAGAAGCTCCCGTTGTCAAGCTTTAAGGCTGTTTCGCTGAATTAGCGATAATTTTGCCCGTAAATATCAGTCTGTCGGGAAAATAGTCATCGCATCAAGATGTTTTGCCTCGTCAAAACAAGGATGCACTCGCGCACCTAATTTCAGGCTGCGGCAATGAAGTGTCATTTCAAGGCGCGACGCCACTATTTTCCCGACAGACTGGTATATCGAAACATACGGCACAATAAATTATGTCTATGGACATAAAGACAAAGTTATCTTTTACTGAAAAAGATATAAATTAATTAATTCTAGGCAAAGAAAATTTTTATAAAGAAATAGCCTTAAACCCATATAGCCCCTCAAACTTCTTTTAAAATATCGAAAATCAAATAAAGCTCCTCTAAGACCGAGCTCGTCGGAGTCTAGACACATGTGATTCGCGAAGCCACCGATTTCTAACGTTTCAAATAAAGCCAATTTAAGATTCCCTTAATTTCAGAGTTTACGGGACAAATAAACCAACGCCCAAAAAGGCATTCAAATTATTATAAATAAGAAAAGATCTGATGAAAAAGCCCCACTTTGCGAAAAAAAGAAAGAGAAAAAGAGGCTCTTTTCCCTCGCATTAAGTCGATTCCACACAACTGAGAAATGTCGTAAAAGTACCTTTCGTCTCTGCCATTACAGACAAAGAGTAGACAGAAAATCTTAAGCAGAATTTTGCTTGATTTTGTTGCGCAGGCTGACTTAAAACGCTGACAAAACAAAACAGATAATTTCCATCAATGCGCTTTTCTGGCATAGCCAAAAAAATGGTTGTATAGAGTCCATTTAAAATTGACCATATATTATATTATATTTGAAAACCTTGTTCCGCGACCAAATAATTCTCTTTTAGATCTTATGTTCACCATCAGATAAGCCAATTAAAACGGCACTTTCAAACTCAAGCCAAACAAGAAAAATTCAAAATTATTCTGATATCAAATAAACGTCTTTTAAGTCTTTCAAAACCACTTCTCCACTTCCAGAACCAAAACAATAAAACTTCTACAACTTAACTCTATTGTAACACCCAACACATCCAAAAATACTCCTGTAAAATCAAATAGAGCTTTTATTTCATTTGTAAAAATTGTTAATAAAATTGTGGCAAAATTCTGTACAAAATGAGACAAACATACTATTCCTCAATATTATACTGGAATCATACGACGTTTGGAACGAAGAGAAGCAATGCTAGACTTGATTGTCATGGGTAATGGTAGGTTTTCTAGGGACTTGTCCTTGCCCAGCGAAGCCACAATTGCCTTTTCACATATCGAAGAGAGAGATCGTACTAAAACCAAAAAATAAATTCAAACTTTGATTCCAACTTACCAGTCTTTTTCATGGGGATGAAAGTTATTCTTTTGGTCATTCCAAATATATCAACGACAGCAAAGACCTTATCATTGGACGCTTGGAGCGGTAGAAGTTGGTCGGAACAAAAATCTTTGTCGTTGACAAGGACATGCAGCTGAATACAGTTGTTTTCGACGATTTCATAATATACACCAACAACATCACCGGCGTGGACTGTTGAAGAGAGCTGAGGAAAGGCAACAAGCGCGGTTTTCGATGTGAAAGGTCTGGAATAGCACGTATTTTAATTTAATTGGAGTAATTCCCTTCCAATGTCAAAGACAACAAACACGGCAATTTTTTGAATTAAATAGGTACCTAAACATAAAAACAATCATAAAAATTAACCCACTGAGAATCCAGTATTGGCCGAGTGGCTGGATCAACGGTGGTGACTCCTAATCGCAAGTGTCCAGTCCAGCAGAACTCTACTTCATCGATGTGAATCAAAAACGGCCTTAGGGGCTCAATTGGATTTGCACTAAAACACATTCCATGATAAGACCATTGCCGTCGAGCTACTCGCGGATTCTGGGTAATGTCTATGTTCTGTGCGTGATAATAATGGAAACACTGCGTGGAGTCTTCATCAATCCTGTAAAATTGAGCGTAAAATAGAGAAACCCGGTCGAAAACAAGATAGAAAAGAAAACATTCAAAACTTACACCCAGTTCTCCTTATTCCTCGAAAAATCGCTCAGCTTCGAGTCGTTCAAGGCATTCAAGTCCATCTCGGTCGATTGCCGACCGTTCGAATTTTTTTACCGAGAAAAAACATCTTCCAGTGAGAACATTTCCCGTCCCACCACGACAAACAAGGAACGCAAAGACTTCTTGGCATTCTGTTTATACGCCTTCTTCGGGAAAAATTCGTAGAAAAAATACGGAGCAAGTGGTTCAAGTGCTGCTCGTCGAGTCCGTTGCAGCGATAATATCATTCTTTGATGTCTTTTCGTTGGAAATGCCGCAGGGCAAGAGTTTGTTTAATGGGGGGAGTAGCCTGTTTAATTTCTGATTTGATCGATGAAAAGTGACGAAGAACATCATGTTCGCCGTGAAGCTGTCCGTGGCAGAGAGGGGCGGTGTTTGTGACTGGATTCCGAGGGTTCTTACTAATTTTTGGAAATTTTTATTGTTGTATTCTTTTGTCATGTGCAATATCAAAGCCTGTGTCTAATGTTGGCCGATTGGAAAGGGAATGGTTATTATGTAAACTAAGGTGCTATTCGTGATTCAGGGAGCTTTGTTAGGCGGAATTTTAATGTGTTTTTGGGAGGGAAAGGGTGGCCGCCAGTTTCTGGGTGGTTTCAATTTGTTTTTTTGCTTTTTAATGCCTTTATTAGGATCGCGAATTTTATGGATGCTAATATATTCTCGTCGTTAAGGGGTGCGGATTTTTTTAGAATTTGCGTCATCTTTGAATTGTCACAGTATTTTGCGCATAAACGAGATTTTTTATTCCTTTCGCTCATGGACAATTTAATTTTTGTATGTTCTAGGTTCATGAGGCTAAAACGAATGTGACCTACTAAAACATCGGCCAAATATTGTCCACGATGCGATGGGATGGAGTCTCGTCCATCATTTTGCTTGGGATTTTGGTGGCATCAACTTTTGTTCTGGTCATCCTCAATAGCACTGGATTTGACACTGTCTCCAAGACAATTTTAACCGTTCCTACCGAAAAGTACGACCCGAGTTTAGTAACACGAAGGCCGGGAATAGCAGGTCGACCAATTGAAGCCATTGCGAACCCAAATTTTAAAAATGGGCAAGGCAAGGAAGTGCGATATAATGTTGTAAATAGAAGAGGAAATCCCGTTGTAAGCAGTGGTAGTGGAGCTAAAAGAGGAAATGGAACTGCCGTGGCTCAAGGTATGACCTCAAATGTCACAATGGATGCAACAACTCCATCAGATGATCAGATCGCGAAACAGAAGGCCGATGAAGAAAGGAAACATGAGAATGAGGAAAAGCTCACAATCCTGGATCCGGTAGCCATGCAACTTCATAACCTCAGCGAGTCGTAAGTCATTTTTTGTTTTTGTCATATTATTCTATTGTACTAGACGATCCTCCAAAAAAACCCCGTTTCTTTTCAGTTTGACCAATGAAACGAGCAAGGTCCCGATCATAGAAGAAGCCGCGACCCAATCAGAAGAGAAGAAGGATGGGCTGGCCATCTTTTTCATCCTCTTTGTCATCGTTTTGGCCACGCTTCTTGTCCATGTTATCATCGTCACTGAATTCCACTATATGCCAGAGAGTTTGGCAATTGTACTGCTTGGAGCTGCTATTGGATTTCTCTTGTCGTATAGTAAATGGGATTGGCGGGAAGTGGAGACTTTCAACCCGAACTTCTTCTTTTTGGTTCTTTTACCTCCAATCATCTTTGAAAGTGGTTATAATCTAAATAAGGGCAACTTCTTTGCAAATATTGTCCCGATTTTGTCGTTTGCTATTATTGGCACGGCTTTGTCCGCATTTGTCATGGGATTTGGAGTCTGGTTCTTGGGATATGTAAGTTTATTTGCATTTTTTTTGATGTTTAGGTACCCAAAATCAAGCACAGTATAAATTGACGGTTTTGACTTCATTTTCTTTCAGATGGGAGTGATCTACAAACTGACCGCAGTTGAAAGCTTTGCTTTTGGATCAATGATATCCGCAGTGGACCCCGTTATCACCTTGGCCATTTTCCAGGCCCTCAAAGTTGATGCCCAACTATACATGCTGGCCTTTGGAGAGTCGATGTTGAACGATGCCGTTGCGATTGTTTTGGCTTCAACTGCTCTAGAAATGAATAGCCCTCATTTGGCTGAACTCTCGTCGATGGATATGGCAAACTATGCTTTCTTGAGATTCATGAGCATGTTCTTCATATCGGCATTGTTGGGAGCAGCGGTTGGATTTATTTCGGCTTTGGTATGAAGGGGCTGGAATGGGATTAGGGAGCTTTATGATGGTTATTTTACCCCCAATTTTCAGCTCTTCAAACACGTCCATCTTCGTCGAACTCCCTCCCTCGAATTGGCCCTCCTCATCGTCTTTGCCTACCTTCCATACGGCATGGCTGAGGCCCTCTCACTTTCTGGTATAGCATTTTTTAATTTTAACGGATTTGATTATTCAAATTTTAATTTCAAAAAATTTTCAATATTTTCCAGGAATTATGGCAATTTTATTCTGCGCAATCACCATGTCCCAATACACACACTTCAACATCTCGCCGATCACACAGCTCACCATGCAACAGACTTTCCGGACCTTATCCTTTGTCGCCGAAACTTCGACTTTTGCATATCTCGGTCTGGCCTTGTTCACAATCAAATTAGTATTCCAACCTATCTTCATGGTGTGGAGTGTGGTATGTCACGCTTTATTTTGAGTTTTATTCGAAGTTTAGATCCTTCTGTTCGTGAGCCGAGCCGCCAGTATCTTCCCCATATCGTATGTGGTAAACAAATGTTCGAGTCGACGAATCTCGATGAAGAATCAAATGATCATGTGGTTCAGTGGGATGCGAGGAGCCGTGGCGTTTGCTCTAGCCCTTCATATGCAGTTGGATGACCCGGAAACGAAGCGAATGATCTTAACGTCGACTTTATTCATAGTACTTTTTACTGTAGTCTTTATGGGAGGAAGCGCATTACCATTTATCAAGTTCTTGAACAAATTCTATCCTGAAGAACAGGTCTTGAGAGCAAAGAAGAAGTCGAGAAAACAACGGGTGGAAAAGAAAAAGAAGGTGAACAAAGTGGTGTTGTCCAAGACGAATGAGATGGCTCTGATGGATCAGTCCGAGTTCACAACGGAATGCGAGGACTCAGATGGATATAAAAGTGACGCGACAGCCGATAATTTCTTTACCAGACTGAACGAAAGAATTGTGAAGCCACTTTTTGTGAGAAGGGTCACTTATCAGGTAAGAATATGTTCAGTAAGGGAAACAGTGGTATTGTGCGTGTTTTGCATTATGTTTTTTGGGTCATATTTTACAATTTCTAGGAACGTCAAGAAAATCGCGCTCGTTTCCAACACTTGGCCTCCGAACTGATGAAACGCCCAAATCGACCAAATCAATCGAGCTCAGACGATGAAGAGTACTATTTACCCACAAAATCGTCGAGAAGACCACTAATTCCAATGTGAGATGGTTGAAAATGGCGGCAATCACAATCGATTATATTGCACATGACAAAAAAGTAGCTAGTTTTGTGTCTAGAATTGGTTTATAAGCAAGTATTTGATATCCAAAGGTGGTCTACAGTAATTTTAGCTTCTATTGACGAGTTGCTGCCTAAGTATTTCGACTTTTTATTTTATTCTTCAAATGTATTTTTTCACAAAATAGGTGTCTAGTCCAAAATAATATCCGAGTTGTGTCCAAAAGTCTGCGGTTGTGATAACTCTCTAGCAGTTCTAAGTACAGTCAAACTATTTGAAAAAATTATTTCGCCTAAAATGTACAAAAAACGAGCTTTTCCCCCACAACAATTCACTTGAACCACCAAAAAACAACGTTTTGTTTCTTGCCAAATGTTAAAAAACCAGTGTCTTACTACGCTAACCGATGCAATACAATTCCTCCTGTGGCTAAAGCAATTTTATATGTATATTCTAATTATTTGTTAATTTATATTGTTATTGCTAATTGAAATAAAATAGTATTGAAAAACTGAATTGACATAACAACTCAGAATTGCAGTAAGAACTGAGATACGCCGATTTTTAAAAGATTTTTTTATATTGTGTTAGACGCTGATATTGCACTTGAAACTTTGGGACGAAAAAATGGCGTAAATCGACAAACGAACTTGCATTTGTCAGTAAGGTTCCTTTACTTTTATTTTAAAATATTTTTTAATTTTCCACGCCTCGAATGCGCCTAATTTACCTCATTTGGATTGTCAGTGCATGACATACATTTGTGCGCAACACTTCTTGCGCACACAGAGAGAACGCCTAAAAGTGGGAGACAAGTGGCGGCGAGAGAAGAGGGAAAAGAGCGGACATTTCTTTCCTTCTCTCTCCTTTTCCTCCCCAATTCTCGGACGCGGTTCTCTTTTTCGGGGTCGGAGAGAAAATAAAAATAGACGTAAAACCTAGCGACAGGGTCTTATTGAAGACCCACAGTCGAATTTTTGGGGGTTCCTTTGGAACTTATATTACTGTAACAACTCGAATGTGATCGTGGATTACGATTGCATTAATTTTGCAGATAATTAGTACGCTTATAGGAATAAAGTCATTCCAGTTGAATACAGCGAAACAATACTTTTTTATCCCAATTATTATGACCTCAAGCTTAGGCTGTGAAATGTACAAACAAGATCACAAATCAATATGCAAAACAGTCAAAAACCTGTAAAATCTCGAAAAAAAGCAATGTTCGGTATCTTGATTTAACAAGGATGTAAGATAATATCTCGCGGAAGAACTACTTTTTGCTTTTTATCCACTTTAGGAAATCAGTGATCTCAATGGTTCTTCGAGGGATTACTCTAATAAGCCTATATTTCGATAAAATTTTTCTCTGATCTAATGGATAATGTAAAATGTGTTCGAAAAAGTCTAAATTTAGGGTTGCTTGCCAATTCATCTCCCACACAAGGTCCGACACGTAAGGCCATCAATTTTCGCTCGTTTTTAGCGCCGATAAGCCCTTTGAAATTTCTTTGAAACTCTTTTTCGCAGCCAAAAACATCGTAAAACCAGGTGTTATCAGGAGAAATGATTGATAAAAAGTCTAAAAGTACTACGTCCTACAGCTTTTTGTCCGTCAGGCTTGAAAAACGTCAGGCGGTTCTGTAAAACTTTTATTTTCCCATCCAACTTACCAAGGAAAAGACATGACCCAAATGGGTCAGGTGTTTCCTTTATCATAAAAATGTCCAAAATTAATATCAGTTCGGTTGCTAATGGCTTTACAACTATTGTTCTTTGTATTTCACTCCTTCACCAATCAAAGGCACAAGGAGTTTTATCAAAAATTGGCCTTTGTATCAACTACAATATACCGATATAAATAAGAATTTTATCGAATTAAACCATAAATCATAACAAAGAAACAAAAATTTAGGTGAAATAAGAGGTACTGGGCGAGACATACTGGAAATGAAGCTCCAAATATCGGGGAAAACGGATACTTTAACAATGGAAGACATCAATTATAAATAAAAGTTCAATACTACCATTAAACTCGGAAAAAAAGCATGGACAATAAATTGAAAAGTCGTCTATAATTACCACATCAAAATCAATACAGAACTCCGTATCAACTCGACACAGTAATCTTCTACTGGAACTAAAGGTTTTCTGGAAAAGCGACCCGGATTACGAATAAAACACTGCAGGAAAAAGGTTGAATTCTACCGCATATAGACTGTAATTACAATATTTATATAAGGAAGCGGGAACCGGAGGGATCACGGTACATTTTCAAAGTTATACTGGATCGATCAGGGAGGGAATGAATGTCACCAAGTCCGAATCGGTGTGGATTAGGCTGAACCTGGAAGAAAAAATAAATAAAATTCAATCACCCAACAATTCATAAAATTTCTTATTCCCAAATCCCTTCAATTTTACCCTTCACATCAGCGCACTGTGCAGGCACACCTATTTTTTGCCAAAATCCGATTTCCTCTTGTATTTTTTCGCTGATAACAAGTACTTTTGGTATGATTACAATGTTTTTGACAGTCCACTCACATGCCTTTTACAATCCCGCAAAAAATGAGCCAAAAATATCAATAACTTGTCATTTCACAACATCTGATAACAAGCACAAGATAAAAACAGTCATAAATCTGCTGTCAAAAAGCTTGTGGGTACTGTGTTTAGGTCCAGTATACGGTAAAGATTTTTAAAAAAAGCCGTAAAAAACTCACCTTGAATGGGGATATCATTGGCTCGAATGTTGATAGGGACGTTCATTCGGAACTCATCACTGCCTTTGGAACCTAGTAGCGAGGTCGTGGATACCGTGGACTAAAAACAGAAGGTGTTGGAACCATCTGGTTACCAGACTCACATCAATCGAAAGGTTAGAAAGTAGTTAACTTACACATCCAAGATCATCTGCTCCTAGATGTCCAACATGTCGAAAATTGGTGGGGTTTCCAATCATAGACCGGTCAATTCGCACTCGGGCTATCTGAAAGGACATGGGCTTTCTTCGTGATGCAAAATGAGGGGGTCAAAATATCATACTAGTCATGAAATTCAAAAACATTAATTTTATACCTAAATTAATAGAAAATTATTGGAGATGGTAAAATATGAGCAATGAAGGTGAATTATAAGATTTAGACAACAAATTAAATGAATACACCCTCACAAAGAAGCGAAACATAATTTTAGACACTAAAATCCATAAAATTTTCAAAATTATCCAAGTTTGACCTTACCTCCGACTGAGGCGAAACACAGCAGTTGAGGAACCAGAAGCGAGGGTTACGACGTCCGAACATTCTCTTCATGACCTCCACCGAGTTCTGGACTTTTTTATTTTTTTGGATCGGGGCGTTTCGAAGCAAAACGGAAAACGTCTGAAAAGAGAGCCGACTGCATAAAACATGGATAATATAAATGTCAAAAGAGCGGAATCACGACTCTGATAGACCCGAAATTCCGCCCCGCTTTTGCGAACTGGTAATGTGGCACGACTGGAGGGCACGTAAAAAATTTATATAACCCAATAAAAAATGGCGAAGATCGGGTTCAAAGCAATGAAAAAATTGTCGAATTCTAATGAATTTGTAGGTAGTAAGAATCCACAATTGTTCGACAAACATTGTTTTTGTGTTGAAACACTCGAGAAGAAAAGAGATTACTCAGAAAAACATCAAAAAGTGTGAGAAATCCATCAAACTTTGAGTGATGGGGAAGATAAGGTCAGGTGTGAAGAAGGTGTTCCTCAGATCAGCGTAAAATTTTGCAACGTAAACCGTTTGGTCACAAAGAACAAGCAGTAAAAAAATTCAATTTGATTAGAACAAAATTAGGTACCAAAATTTCAAAAATTATATTATTCATGAAGGATCAACTGAAAATGTAGCAAAAACGGTATTTTTAAACACCAGATCGATTTTAAGGACAGTATATAGCAAGACCACACAATATTTTCGCTTTCGAACACCATTTCACTCCATCATCACTATTTTAGACATCAAATACCTGTAAAATCAGTTTTCCTCCAAAGCCCTCAATTTTCCATAAATTATCAACCCATTCCCCCCTAAATCAAAGTCAAATGCTTGGAAACACATTCTAAAATAAAGAATAATGTTCATGAGGCGTAATTTACATAAATCCATCCAATTTCCGCCTCAAATTCCACGATTTTTCAGTCGAACAAGCAAAAATAAAGGAAGAGAAAAAGAATGTCCAGAAAATCAGTCACCGTGACGGAATTTCCGGAAAATACAATAAAAAGAAGATGGGGAATTACTGTGAAGAAGATAAGATCAGTGCTTTTTGACGGGTTTTGTGAGTAATCATGGGAAAGTTGAGATTTTCGAAATTTTGCGGGGAAGATCACGGATTTTGGTGGAAATTGTTTCAAAATATTACGTTTTATGAGGTAAGGGTTGAGAAGATCCTCGAGGATGAGTGTAAATTGAAGATTAATGAATTCAAAGCATGTGTTTTTTACTGTACATGGTTTAACTCTAATTTTTCCCCCTCAAAACCCCAATTATATTACTTTAGGCATGGCAGACCAGGGAAAATTCTCGTATTTTACGTGCCAACCGCTCATATTTGCTCCTATGCACACATAGGGTCTCCCTCTCACATGACAAACGCTCCACTATAATCCTTGTCAACCTGCGGCTAGCCAGACCGATCGAAAACACCCGCAAAAAAAAGAGGATTCCTCTCTTGCCCGATTAATCCAAAAATAATTTTTTCGGTCGTTATGGAGACCCCAAAGCCGAGAAACAAACAAATTATAGACGAGGAGGCAAGATTATGAAGACAGCGATACGAAAACAAAAAAACTGTCGAGGGGAATCGTACTGGGGCGGACTTTTGGCGGGAGAAACAAAGAAAGACTTTGAGAAGCAGACTTTTTTGAGGCTTCTGAAATCTTATACATACTAAATTTTACGTGGGAAAACGGGACAAAGATTGATGAGAAGGGGTCAAAGACTAAAGAAAAATGAGTTAGGAGCTTGGCTTCGGAAAAAGATTATATTTCGTTAGATAGTTGAACTTGAGGTAGTTGTCTATCAGTGAAGTTGGCGTGATAGCTCGGACAGAACGGTCGTTCTGACCACCTAAGGGCTTAATCATCAAATTCTACGAGTAAAATAAGCCAAAATTTTCAGATATGAAACTTTAGCCATCAAGTCATCATGGATAATATAACTGCTCAAGCTGGCGTAAATCGTCTTCTTGTCCTCCCAAACCCAACAAGACACTAGAAAATTAGTACTGACAAGGGCTCGGCAAAACCTCGTCCCCTGGTTTCTTCTTGAAACATATACCATTTGAAAGAGCGCAAAAAACTGGTCTAGGATCACCTTCAATTAGCTGCTAAGATTCGCTTACGTGCTAGCTAGCAAACTTTTTTTCAAAATTCCCAATTAGACTTTGGGAACCTTTTCTTCTGACAAGGAAAGTACTTTTATGGGGGCTCCTACTTTTTGACGGGACATATCTCAAAAAATCAGAAAAAATGTGCTGATCAAGAATATATAGATCTTAGCTGCCCATTTTAGGTTTTTAGGGGTGAAAACTCAGTCGGAAGTTGACTTAAAGTCCTATATGAACCCCTTTTCGCCTAATTTTTCACGGGTTTACAATTTTTATTTTGGCTTAAAATTATGTTTATTGAGTTTCTAAGACGTAATAAATCAGTCTTGGCCCAAAAATTTATTTTGCCGACCTTCAACTTCAAAAAGAGTTGGTTCAGCCCAAAAGGGAAATCGAACCTGTGCGGCGTCCCCCCTCTTGATTCCCAGACTACGGCACTAACCACTCGGCCACACCGCTCTCTTCCGAAGGAAGAGATCGAGTGCTCTTTTTATCGTTTCGAATGTCTGCCTTTTGTAGGGAAATTAAACCAGTTTTTGGGCATTTTCACCCTTAAAAACCTAAAATGGGCAGCTAAGATTTATATATCCTTGATCAGCGCATTTTTTCTGATTTTTTGAGATATGTCCCGTCAAAAAGTAGGAGCCCCCATAAAAGTACTTTCCTTGTGAGATGCCAACGAGATCGAATAATCACTTTTCATACAAATATTAGTCACCTATGACATTGGAGGCTTCAATCAAGATCAAAAAACATAAAGTTTTTTTTGAGCTTGAAACTCTCAGGTCGATGCCCTCAACGAGTGATTAGGCGATGTTTTAGGTCTTCTCACCCGAGACATACTAGGAGGTTTTAAACATGTATACCGTTTTCAGGCTCGTTTTTCACGTACTGTCCGTAAATGGGCATTCCTGGCAAAAAATATTAAAGCCGTTGAAAGTTTCAACCATCTTGGGTGCCCACTGCAGGGTCAAAGACACCTGTATCACAAAAAATTTAAAAACCTGTCGATTTTTCTAGTAAAACAAATCTAGGGTACCCCAAAAATCAATATAAAATTAAATACTACATGCTAGCCTTCTTCATTCCATAATAGCCAAAAAAAATCCAAAAATTCAAACGAGGATTCGAACCTGGTCCGCAGGTCCTCCTTGTAGAGCGCCTTACCCCACTAGGCCACCGAAGCACTGCTTCGCCGTGCTTTTGAAATCGATTCATTTTGTTTTGTTGAAAGAAGGGTGAGACTGGCTTAGAACTAAAAAATGCTCGCTAGCTAGTATGTAAGAGAATCTTAGCAGCTAATTAAAGGTGATTCTAGACCAGTTTTTTGCGCTCTTTCAAATGGTGTATGTTTCAAGAAGAAACCAGGGGACGAGGTTTTGCCGAGCCCTTGTGAGGCAATGCCAAATAGATATTTCATGTAAAATACGATGGCTTCCATTATTTTGTCATTTCCAAACATCTGATCCCCTAGTACAATATAAAGTCGTTTTTGTTTGATCGAAATCTAGAATAAAGACGTTTCGAGCTTCTTCAAGCATTCCTATTGTAATATTTTCTGGTTGCTCATAACGATCTTATTCCCGGCTTTTCCGGAAGCATTAAATCGGGAGATAAAGGAAAAGATCAGGTTCGACGCCATAAAACACTGAATGGAAATTTGTTTCAAAAGTTCAAAAATCAAGTGATTTGAAGGTGAAAAGGTCTAAAATTGATTTAAAGGTAGTAGATATTTGTGTAGGTAAAATACGGTGTTTTTTGGAATGTTGTAAGCAAGCGAATAGTGAGTTTTTGAGCATAAAATCTCGATTAATATTGCAAGATGCGTGTTCAAAACCTCAGATATGCCTTATAAAAGTCTAATCTAAATTTGCGTTAAGTTTTATCAAGATCTGATTATTTTCATTTTTTAGTTAAAATTTTGGCCAAAAAATTCAAATTTTCCCAAAAATTACATTTCCAAAAATTACGGTAACACTGAAGTACTTTCTTAACAAAGTATTCTGTTCCACTAACCTTCAGCGACTCCTAAATTCCCCTCCCAAACATCGGACGGACTCGTAAACCCCCCTTTTTTTTGAATCGCCCACTTTTTTCGAAACGGTTGTTATAAACGCGCTGCAAACGAGGTTATAAAGAGAAAAAAGGGGGGAATTATCGCGGCAACAGTTCCTTGACAGGTGCGCAAGCTCGTTACGAAAACTGCCGGAGGGCAAACGCTCTCGCGATTTTATGAGCGAGGGTCAAAAAAGTGTTTATCGAAATGAGACCCCTTCACAGTTTTTATGGAGTTTTTATTTACTCAGAAAAGGAGGGAGATTATATTATATGATAGATTGGAGCGGAATGGGACCAGGAATATTGGGGAAGAGTGCAAAAGAGGTCAAAGGGCCAGACATCGGGAGAAAACAACTTATTTTTGAAGAAAAGTGATGTCCTTGCCATGGACAACATAATTTTGGGGTAAAATACAAGGAATAAAAGGCTCTGCATCACATTTGAGGAAACGATGTTCCAGAAAAATCACTTTTTTCGACTAATCTCACAAACTTTATACATTGTAGTCATGTATAATATAATTTTTTTTTATTTTTGAGCAAAGTGATCCAATTTTATATCACAAATGGCAATTTTAAAGACTGTAAAGTCCGAGACATCTCAAAAAAAATACCAAAATGTTCACTAAAATCGACTTTTTTGTTATGGATAATATAATTTGTGATGGTTGTGGGTAAAACATCGCAATTTTAGATGCCCAAAGTGCCATTAATGGCGTAAAAAAATAAAAAATCCAAAAGAATCAAGGCCTCGCTGCCTTTTTTCCATCAAACTTATTACAGGTATTACGTAAAAATGTCAATTTTCCCAAAAATTCCCATACCTTTTATACAAGACAGTTCAGAAGCTCAAACAGGCAATTACAAGGCCTAAGAGTCTTATC